CGATATATTACTGTGGTTTTAGCCGTTGGGCTGTAATTCATGTTCAAAGTTTAAAAAAAGCTCGAAAAAGCAGTGTTTTTACATTTCATTGATTAATAAATTACATTACATTTCATTGATATTAAACTTAGTTTATATTATTATGTGATGAAAGTTTTATAGATTAGTTTTTTTACAATTGAAAAAGATGTTAATAAGGAAACGTTATAAAGAATTCTATTGTTGCTTTAGAAATGATGGAAGAAAGAACGAAAGAAATATTTATTAATTCTCATAAATCGTATCACACACATATATACAGTAATTATAGCATTTAAGTGCTAGTTAGTTACATAATAAAGGTCGGAAACTGTTCATTAATTTCTCCTCCTTTCACGTTCGAAAACCATCGAGATATTTCACTCGTGACACACGCTACAGAAGACCGCAACAAAAACACCTTCTCCTCCTTGGTCAATATTTACTATACGAATATTCACAAATTGTGAAAACGTATTTGAAATACGAATACATTTTCTTTTAATGACTTTATTTCAAAGCATTTACGTTTTCTAATTTTCCAAAAATAATCAAAACGACACAATTTGATTAGTGCGAATTCTCTATAATGAAATAAAAAGCTAATAAAATTGTATTAATGAAACTCTAGCCAAACCTTGCTTCGATTAGTGCCGATTCTTTTAATAGTTAAAAACTTTGAATCAAACTAAATGTTAATTGAACAAAATTAAAAAAAAAAACATCAAGAAAATATTACAGCTAAGTCTCTTTTCGTATTATTTATGTTATACAGTTTTTAAGTCCTCCATTAGTCCGGTTACAAATAGTGCGGTACCCGCACTGTACGAGGTATTTATATGGTAAGACAAAAATTATAAAATAACTAACGAAATTAATGTACAAATAAAAGTTGATTTTTTTTGTATGCTTTTTCTTTGATTTTACACAAAATTAGGGACAAAATAAAATGCTGATCAAAACTAATTGCATAGTGCGGCTTCAATCAGTGCGGATTCTTCATGATGAAAAATCTGATTTCATTTTATTGATTCCTAACTACGGCTTCGATCAGTGCGGATTCTTTAACAATTTCAAAACAAACTAAATGCTAATAGTAAAAATGCAAGTCTCTTTTTGTGTTAATTATTGTTAAACGATTTTTAAGTCCTCGATTAGTCCGGTTACAAATAGTGTGGCACCCGCACTGTGCGAGGTATTTATATAGCAAGAAATGAATTATAAAATAACTAACTTCGCACAGTGCTGCTTCGATCACTGCGGATTCTTTAATAATATCAAAACAATGTAAATATAATTGTACAAATTAAAAAAAAAACACATGTAAAAAGTCTCGCAGTGTGCAGTTTCAATCAGTACGGATTCTTTATAATAAAAAAAAATCTGATAACACTTTATTGATTCCTAACTTCGCACAGTGCGGATTCTTTAATAATTTCAAAACAAACTAAATATCAATTGAACTAAATTAAAAGTACAGTCAAGTCTCTTTTTGTGTTATTTATTAAACGGTTTTTTATGTCTTCGATTAGTCCGGTTGCAAATAGTGTGTTATCCGCACTGTGCGAGGTATTTCTATGGTAAGACATAAAATAACTAACGAAATTAATGCAAAAATAAAAACTGACAAGTTTTTGTAGGATTCAAATTCTTTGATTTTACAAATTAATAATGATTATGGTAGGAAATAATTAAGGTTCGCTAATTGACTTTTCCGAGCACTTTCCAATTGCGCGGTGAATCAAGTCTGTGCATTTATTTGCATTTCTTAGCTGATGGAAGAATATTATGTTGTGTTACATTAATTTTATAATAATCATAATTAATTGCAGTTGACTTTCCTCGCTTTCCATGAGATAATAATAATTGATTATATTAAATCAAATTTAAACAGAAATCACAAATAATATTCATAACAAACTTTCTTCATTTTAACATAACATAATCGAATTCATAATGTCCAGTTTATTTTAATTTTTCTGTCGTTTTTGGCAAAATTGTTGGAATTAATAATTATAGGAATTTTTTTGCTTTTTTTTCTTAACATTTTCATTTATTCTTGGTCAAATTATTGACCATAAAATATGTTAAGATAAAATAAGATTGTTTTCATTTTAAAATGTATAAATAAAATATAAATAATTTAAAGAGAAAAGTTGTTTTTTTCTTATTAATTTAAACTTACCGTGATCTTGATGGAAGATGATGAACTGCACTTAGTTAAACCGTTAACGGTAATGAATCCAGGCTCGAACAAATCGAAACAACTTGTTACTTCTCTACAATTATGTACTCTTCTATTTGTATTTTTTTATTATTTTCTCTCTTGATTTTTAATTTCACAGCACTTGGAAAAGAAAATTGACCAGGAACAAACACTGCGTACGTGAAAATTCCTGGATCCGACACTTGTTATTTTTTTCCTCAAGTTGATACTTTTCTGGGTTTCCCGAAGTACAGAATAAAGGTATACACTATATTTTGAAGCGTTTGGTAAAATCGCGACCTCCGGCTTGTCGTTCGCACCAAATGAAAATGAAAGTCTTACGCGGTTTGCGCGCTCTGCGACCGTTGGCCAGTTTCGGTGATAACTTCCATTGAGAGGGAATTTTTGTGGAAAAGGTGGAATGTTTCAAGAGAAAGATGTATACTAGAGGTATGGATGGATGATTGAGGAAGAAAGAAGGACGTTGATGCAAAGGGAGAGTTGGAAAGGAAGAGTATGTAGGTTACTAGGTGCAATCATTTTCACTCCTTCCAGTTAGATTATTAGTCTTCTCGTTCTTACATCGGATCGTGTGTACCGTTTGGAGATTTCACTCTCGCCGGACAGGTGATAAATGCACATGATTTCTTATGGAAACGCTGATCCGACTGACGATCGATGACATAATATAACGCTTAAAAATATACAAAAAAACAAGTGTTGGTTTTTATGGAATAAAAAAAAAGTCTGCAAGAATAAAGTATTAGATAATATATTTGATCAAAAATGCATGAATTTGAGACGACTTTAAAACAAACAAAAAAACTAGAATATAATAGAGTTTCGAAACGTAATCTTAGACATTTAATGAATTCTATTCAAGTTTAAAACAGCAACAAGAAATGAATTCGTTGCTAAAACTATATTTTTGTTCAATTAATATAATAAGAATTTGAAACTACTTTAAAACTGTAACAAGGAAATATTGGAAGTTCAAAGAAATGTTGAATATGTTTTGATTTGTATGCAATAACGAAACATAATGTTAAAACAGCGACAAATAAATTCGATGATTCAACTGAAAATACTTAAAAAAAATTGTAAATTTTAGTTAATAAGATTTTCATGAATTTGAGACGACTTTAAAACAAAAAAAACTAGAATATAATAGAGTTTCGAAACGTAATCTTAGAAATTTAATGAATTCTATTCAAGTTTAAAACAGCAACAAGAAATGAATTTGTTACTAAAACTAGATTTTTGTTCAATTAATATAATAATAATTTGAAACTACTTTAAAATAGTAACAAGGAAATATTGGAGGTTCAAAGAAATGTTGAATATGTTTTGATTTGTATGCAATAACGAAAAATAATGTTAAAACAGCGACAAATAAATTCGATGATTCAACTGAAAATACTTAAAAAAAATTGTAAATTTTAGTTAATAAGATTTTTAATAGTCAATACAAACATAAAGAATTTAAGGCATGTTTTAAAGTTGCAATTCTATACCAAAACTGAAAATTGTTTAGATATGTTTAAAGTTTGAAACTCGGAATTGATAAAATATTTGATCAAAAAATGCATGAATTTGAGACGACTTTAAAACAAAAAAAACTAGAATATAATAGAGTTTCGAAACGTAATCTTAGAAATTTAATGAATTCTAATCAACTTTAAAACAGCAACAAGAAATGAATTCGTTACTAAAACTAGATTTTTGTTCAATTAATATAATAAGAATTTGAAACTACTTTAAAACAGTAACAAGGAAATATTGGATTTTCAAAGAAATGTTGAATACGTTTAGATTTGTATGTAATAACGAAAAATAATGTTAAAACAGTGACAAATAAATTCGATGATTCAACTGAAAATACTTAAAAAAAATTGTAAATTTTTCTTCAATTTAAGTTAATAAGATTTTCATATTCAATACAAAAATAAAGAATTTAAGGCAAGTTTTAAAGTTACAATTGTATACCAAAACTGAAAATTGTTTAGATATGTTTAAAGTTTGAAACTTGGAATTGATAAAATATATTTGATATTAAATTTGATCAAAAAATTAATGAATTTGAGACGACTTTAAAACAAACAAAAAAAACTAGAATATAATAGAGTTTCAAAACGTAATCTTAGAAATTTAATGAATTCTAATCAAGTTTAAAACAGCAACAAGAAATGAATTCGTTACTAAAACTAGATTTTTGTTCAATAAATATAATAAGAATTTGAAACTACTTTAAAACAGTAACAAGGAAATATTGGAGGTTCAAAGAAATGTTGAATATGTTTAGATTTGTATGCAATAACGAAAAATAATGTTAAATCAGCGACAAATAAATTTGATGATTCAATTGAAAAAGCTGTTGAAAATTTTGATTCAATTTAAGTTAATAAGATTTTCATATACAATACAAAAATAAAGAATTTAAGGCAAGTTTTAAAGTTTGAAACTCGGAATTGTTAAAAATGTTTAGATTTTTTTTATTGTATAAAAAATATAATGAATTCGAGACCACTTTAAAACAACAGCAAACAAAGAAAGTATCAGCGGTTCGATAATCACAATAACTCTAAATATAAATGTATAACATGTTAAAATTGACAACTTTAATGCCAAGTGTAGAAGACGTGCGCAATCAACAGGTAAATGGTCGTTACTATTAAACTGCTAATAGTAACTGGAAAACCAACCCTAAAGAGAAAACAAAGATAGATTAGTTAAGTTTTTACAAATTCATTCATAAAAAGTTTACAACTTTATGAATTTAATACAGTGGAACCTCGCATAACGAGCAAAATGAATTGTAAGAAAAATGTTTCACATAACGAGTGACTTCTAGATCATTTATAAAACTTGTGTGCACTATACGAGTATTTCACTATACGAGTAAAAATCCAGACAGTTTTGAACTTATTAAACTCGTTAAGCGAGGTTCCACTGTTTATGTAAAATTGATGCAATAATAATTATAACTTTAATTATTTACAAATTCATTTCTTAAAAAAAAACATTTTAATTAACAATTTGTGTAATTTTACTATTTCTCCAATAATGTGGACTATATAATTAATAATTACATGTTCTTGTTGTTCGTAAATTGTTTATTTTTTTAATTAATTCACTTTGAACTATAGTTAAAATCTAGCCATATCAATATTTATTGCATTTCGAATATAAATAATTAATTATACAAATAATTTTAAACTTTTCCCATTATTTTAAGAAATGAGAAATCATTATGGAACGAAAGTAAATTCATAAATCTTGTTGTAAAAAAGATTGTAAAATTGATATAAAAAAAAAGATTAAAACATAGCTAAACTCTAATTCAATTGATATTTAATAATGATTTTTTCTTAATTAATTATTTTAATACTTACTTCATGAATTCTAAGAAGGAAAACCTGTATCCATGTTGCTCTGCGACCCCAGCGCAGATAATATTCGACGATGAACCGAACAAGGTTCCATTACCTGAAACATTATCCTTACATATTTTACGAAAGAAAAGAAAACATTCAAGTTTACCTCCAAGGCAAGCTCCAAAGGACAAAGCCCAAATCAGCGGCTGCAAAGGAAGATTCAGCTCGTGGTTATCGGCCAAACTGGTAGCAATCCTGATCATCATAGTGGTCAACGGAATATTATCCACAAACGCCGAAGCAATTGCAGAAACCCACAGGATCAGAAGGATCGCAACAGTCAACCTCGACTCCTGCCCAACGGACATAACAATATTATGGGTTATTTGCCCAATCCAATCCATCAAACCCAATCGAGACAAAGCCTACAAAAAAAAAAGAAAAATATCAACAACAACAAGAAGCAACCTCGATTTTTGTTAATGTCGCTTTCAAAGTAATTACATCGAGTTTTGCAACTTGATACAAGCAATTAACCAGTTTAACAACACACAAAAATACGAAGAGCGACGTTTCTGTTTCATTATTATTATTATTTTGGTTGACTTTCCGTTGTCGAAAGTCCACCAAAAAAAAAAAAAAATTGCATTACACTTTTATTATTTGTTTCATCATCGTTGTTCGATAAACACGGCCACCTTCACCCAGTCCCAAATTGCAAAAAAAAATATATAGTATTATTGAATTCGTAAAGATTTTCTTATTTTTATTTCGGTTCGCTCAAGTTGGGAAACTTTGTGAAAGTCGTTTTACTATTAAATTTTTCGAGCTGTTGAAAAATCGCATCTTCTCTCGCACAGATAGAGAAACTCCTGATGCAATTGAGAGACGCGCACAAAACGCAGATTTTCTCGTCTATTAACAATCGCGTCTGTGTTCAACGGGAGAATTTCTCATTTTTTTTTTCTTTTACTCGGAAAACCGGAACAATTCATTACGTTTTAGGTCATCTTAATAATAATAATAATAATAATAACACAAGATGTTTGAGAACTTCGTTAGTTAATTGGATTAACTGTTAATACCTCCATCAAGATGAAGAGCGATGCGAAGAACAGTAAAGTGGACCACTCGACTCGGGCTAGCATTGCTTCGATATCATCCCTTTCGGATAGAATAAGCAATAGTAGAGCTCCCAACAAAGCGGTCCAACCTAAACCCAACTTACCTAAGAACAACCCAAAAATGATCAATAAAAAAAAATTATCTTAAATCTTCATAAATTACTCACTCAAAGCCGGTATGGTTTGCATGAAGAAAACCGTGATGACGAAGAATAAAGTGAAAGCGCATTTGATCAAAAGCACTTTATCTTTAATCGGATACTACAATCAAAAATTACAAATTATATGTTATTATTAATTTTCTACAACCAAATCAAACCTGAGCTTCTAAATCTTTAATATTAACATCCAAGTGTTTCTCGATGGGGTTTTCATCCATTTTACAATTCCTCGTCTTCAGTTTTCCTATTAATCTTGAGGTGCGTTTCAGCAATGACTCCTTGATCATGTCTTCGTCCTTGCTGTAGCTGCTCACCGATGCAGCCGTCCTCTGGTAAACAGCGATCTCTCGCTTAAGACCCTGCACATCCTCAGGTTCCTTAACCCTCAGCGAGTTCTCATCTCGATACATGAACCTCAATTGCAGATGGACAACGAGCAGCGACAATAATACGCCTACACTCATGTGCAAAGTGAAAATCGAAAACGTTATCCCCTGAAGAACAACAAAATGATTTTTCCCAATCATTGAAGACTTATTATTAAGAGTTTCTCACGGATTTAATGACGGCCGCGTTCGAAGCTATGATCACGTTCGGAGGATCTCCGATTGGTGTCAAAGCGCCACCTATGTTGGAGTAAACGATCATGTTGATCAAGACCGGGACTGGATTCAGTTTCATCACTTCGCATAATCTGCAAAATTGAAGTTAGTTTTGAAATTTATCAAATTTGAAGCTGAGATAAGATTACTTTATGGTAACTGGAGTCATCAGCAAAGCCGTGGTTACGTTATCCAAGAAGCACGAGAGCAAAGCCGTGAAGAAGCATAAGGTGTTGATCAAAGGCCAAACCTTTCCTCCAGTTAGCTACAACTTATCGAGTTCAGTACAAGACCAAAAAAAAAAACTGTTGAAGCAATCACCTTGAAAGCCAAGACGGAAAGGTAATCGAAAATACCCGTTTCCGTGAAGATTGCGACCATGGTCATCATGGAAAAGAGCAGGAGGAGAGTCTCAATGTCGATCCAAGAGACGAGTTCAGCCATGGTGGGTCTATCGTTCAACGCAGCCAAAGTGGCCACGGCCATCGTACTCACCAACATCGCAGCTAAAGTTCTATGAATTACCTGCAATTAAGTGCAAAAAAAAATACTTATTATTATTTTGTACGCTCGTAAAACGTTTATAAATATAGAATAAACCGCAGAGATGTGTTTGTTGTTATTGAAAGAATAAAAAAAAGCAAGAAATAAGCGTTATTTAATTATCGTTGTTATTGCCTGTTAAAGTCCATTAGCATGGGAATCTCACCTCGAAGATCATGAGGATGTAGAGTAAAATGAGCAATCCAGCTGCATACAGTATACCGTGATCTTCGTTTATTGGTTCGACGTTGTAGGAGAAGGAAATTGGGAAATTCGTCTTCAAATTCGTCTTCAGTTTGACCTTGAGGTAGTAGTGCGAGTAGTTCTCGCGGTCTTCGATGTCGTACAATTTGTAGACTTTGTTGTGGACGACTTCCGGGACGGTTCCGATCAGTTTTCCGGAAACCGTAGGCACCTGCCAAACTTCCGAGACGTTCTTACAAAACAAACAATCATTAATAAATAAGATGAAAGGTCAGAAATTTGCAGTTAGTTGAATTGCATTTCTCCAAGCTGCTGTAATTGATGGGTAATTTGCGTTTCTACGCACAAAGAATTCCATGTTTGCGCGGATTCAAGGGCCTTTGAATTTTTGTAAACAAATTGCGTTCAGAGTGATTTATAGGCAATTCTTTTCAATTGGAAAACGTTTACGGAATTTTTTTTTACAACCTTTGCAACAAACAAAGTTTTCATTGAATACACCTGTGAACTGTAGTTTAGTTATAGGTGATTCTTCAGGAATAAATTCTGAAAACTTTTACATCAAACACTGTTTTTACTGTAAATTAACAAAATTAAATTTGAGAATTTGATTTTATGAATGTTTTCAGGCAGTAATTTAAAAAAAAACTTCTGCCTTGAACAAACTTTGTTTTTACTGTTGACTATTAAACTTAAAGTTGAAAATTTGCTTATATGAGTTTTTTACAGGAAATAATTCTGAAAACTTCTGAAAATTTCATTTAATAAACAAATGTAAATGGACAAATCTAAAATTAATAATTTGCTCAGCAAATACTCTTGTTACTTTTAACTGCTTACAATTGATTTTTCAGGGTAAAATTCTGAAAAGTTTCGCATTTGATAAACAACTGCGAACGGACAAACTTAAAGTTAATAATTTGCTTAGTGGAGATTCTTCAGGAAGTAATTTACGTATGTAGGCCGAAGCAAGTTGGGAATTCGATTTGCGCGAAACTAATTTTGAACTTACTTTGACTAGAAGGATGTCCGATCCTTTCAAACTCGAAACATTGGTGGGCCTGTACGAAGTTTTGATCAGCTGTACCCAAACGTGCATATTGTGAATGGAGAGATTGGCGTAATACTGCGGCAACAAAGCACCCTCCAAACTGATCGACACCTTATCACTAATTATCGGCTCATTAATTATATAGCCTAAATCGATAGAATTTACATTTAATTTTAACCAAAATAGAAATTAACTTCTTTCTTTTGTAAGTATTAACCTTTAGTGGAGTTCTGAGGAATACTTATGTGATGCTTCACGTGGATCTTCTCGTTCTTCACCATCAGCGTACAACTGCAGACGATCCATATTATCACCAGAATGACGGTCTTCACGTTACGCAAGCAAGGTTTCCAATTACTCTCGTGCACGTAATCTCCAGACAACAACCTAAAACAATGAATATAATCTTAAAAAAAAAACATCCAACTTTTTAATTACTCAACAAAGTTTGTAAATATTCGAAATGAATAATTAGATAATTGTTATATTTTCACTTTTAATTCAGCCCCAATTGCTAAATTTGTTACGCAAATTTGAACTTTGGTCGAATTATCAAGTTGTCGTGTGGAAAGTATTTTATATATGTTTTATGTTATTTAACATTTTTATTACAAAAAAAAGAAACATTTGCAGATAATTTAGAAGCTTGGAAGGTTGAAGCTTCATTAACGTTACAATATGCAAACATTGTGAAGATTTGAGAGATTTGATCGTTGAACTCTTGTATTTTTATTACATCTTTAACTTTTAATTCACTAATTTACGTATAGATCTTAAATTAACAACACACGTTGTTTGACCTAAACAACACAAACAAGGATGAGTCGTTAACATGAGGTCTTTAAATCTACTCACAAATGACGGTTTGAAATGAATGCATCTCCGCTTCCATCCTCTTCGTTTATCGGAGTGAACGTGTCTATCCTTCCAGATCTCCTTTGGCTGGAGAGGAAAATTTTGCCACTATCTTCATTACTAAAAGCATAGTACCAAAATATAACTAAATCTAATACATCTAGTAACACTTTCAAAAAAAATAAATGATTTAGATTTGTTTTTGTTTTGTTTAAAAAGTCCTGAAATTTGAAACTTACATGTTCTGAATTCTTTGGTTGGTCATTGCCGGAACAAACGACATTCCGTATTCAGATATTTGCGACACACAAAAAAAATCTCTACCTCACATGGTAGAGTATCAAGAACTGAGCAAAAATCGAACTTCTTCCTACATTCAATTTAGTTTTTTTTTTTCTTCATACATTTATCAATAATATTTCTTTAATTTCTTTGACTCTTCACCAAACAGATTATTTATGATTCAAGTCTCAAACTTCATTCAAAATCTTGAATCATAATTTGTTTAAACAAAAAAAAAAGCATGAAAATTTTAATAATTTAGAAAAAAATATAATCAAGTAACCTTAACAATTGAATCAATAACACACAAATCACAAGATCAGAAAATTGTTTTAGTTTGTTTGTAAATTTTTAATTAATTTTCAAGATATTTGTTCACATTTGCATACTTAAAGAGTAATTAAAAATTGAATTGAGAAAAAGTATATTAAATTAATGATGTGAGATATGCAAAACAAATTACATATTGAGCAATGTTGGTTGCATACGACGCATTCGAATAAACGTCAATTACGTAATTCATCTACCAGACTGCGAATTGTTCATACTATTCATAGTTGATTTATCTCTTGAATTCATTCCGTTTTGGGAAGAATATCTATTCTGCGTAGATTTATTTCCATTCTCCATTGATTTCATAGCTGCATCATTTGTAGAATTGATTTGTTTCATTCCTGCTTCTTTAGAACCACTGGAAGAATCCATCCCTGTTTCATTCTTACTAGAATTGTTAACTGAAGATTTCATTTCTGAATTATTGGAAGAATTCTGCTGCATTTCGTTGCCGTTCTTATTAGAATTTTGACCTGCGTTATTTGTAGAATTCATAGTTTTCATCCCTGAATCATTTTTTGTAGATTTATTTGAATCACTCGTAGAGTTTGCGGTTAAATTCGTATCTGTAATTAATTAAAAAAAAACTATATTTGGAAGACCTAATTTATATAATATCGATTCGTAGATTTACTTGAGTTATCTGTTTCTTTAGGGTTTTTGGGTGAATTATTTCCATTTGTTGTAGAATCCTTATCTGTAATTACAAAAGAAAACTAAAATTTGTAACAAGTAATTTATAAACTATTCATTTACTAGATTTCATCCCTGTATTGTTTGTAGAATTCGTAGATTTAGTTGAGTTATCCATGTCTGTTTCTTTAGGGTTTTTGGGTGAATTATTTCCATTTTTAGTAGAATCTTTACCTGTAATTATAAAAGAAAACTAAAATTTGTAACAAGTAATTTATAAAATATTAATTTACTAGAATTCATCCCTGTATTGTTTGTAGAATTCGTAGATTTATTTGAATTATCCATGTCTGTTTCTTTAGGGTTTTTGGGTGAATTATTTCCGTTTTTAGTAGAATCATTACCTGTAATTATAAAAGAAAACTAAAATTTGTAACAACTAATTTATAAACTATTCATTTACTAGAATTCATCCCTGTTTTGTTTGTAGAATTCGTAGATTTATTTGAGTTATCCAATTCTGTTTCTTTAGGGTTTTTGGGTGAATTATTTCCGTTTTTAGTAGAATCATTACCTGTAATTATAAAAGAAAACTTAAATTTTCGAACAATTAATTGATATAATATTAATTTACTAGAATTGTTCCTTGAATAATTGTTTGTAGAACTCATTGAATTTGAAAGAATTTCTTTAGACTTTTTGTAAGAATGATCGTTTCCAGTTATTGTAGAATACAAACCTATAATTTTTGTAACGAAAGAAATTTTTTTTTTGGATAAAACAATATTAATTTACCAGTTTTCGAAGATCCTTCAGATTTAAACTGAGTGTATTTGGATTTAGTTATACCATCGCCTTCATCTCTTCTCCTCTCATTAACCATACATTCGTAGAAAGCAAACGCGCATCTGCAAACCTCAGTCATCTTTCTACTCTCTTGCCAACACTTATTCGCGTTCATGACAACTCGATTATCGCCCTTCGGCACTTCCAGCAATTCCAACAAATTCTTCATCGTCGGTGGACTATTCGTCATAATCTTACTCTTCTCCATCAAACACTCCAAATAACACATGACATTATCCTTCTTAAAAGTCTGCTCGTCCTCCAAATTCCCCACATCTACACTTTCCATTTCATTTTTATTGATTTTATACCTCTTGGCGCATTCATCCTTAATATCCAACACTTTCTGATCGTTCTTAAAAAACGAATCTTCACACTACAAAAAAAAAAGATCAATTTTGAAATAATCACAATTAAATTATTAACACTTACAAAAACATTCATTAACATTAATGAAATTATCAATGTTTTCATCATTTCGAACTATCTAAATGGCGATTCGATACAGTATGAAAAACGTATCTTTCGGTGGAGTTTATTTATTTGGAAATTGGTATTAAAGAGGGAGGTTTAATGAGCGGAATTGGCTCGTATTTGCGTTACGGTTATTAAATTCCTTCAATTCCCAATGTTGTCGCGTAAACCCAGACACGCTAATTGCCATGTTGATTTGTGGAAACCGATTTTTTTTTTATATATTAAATTTTGGGATGCGCCTGCCGCTCGCCTATTAAAGCGCAATTTCGTAATTTGATTATAATAAACATGCAATGTAATTTACCAAATTATTATATTGTTACCAAAGCTCGGATTATTGTTATTATTCGATTCACATACAAATACAGGATTTGCATCATTATGTAATTGATATTTTTTGAAATTTCTTTGTATATTTTTTGGAAAAATTTAACGTAATTAATTTCAGAATTATTTAACTTATACAATGGAATTTGTTCCTGAGTTATTTTTCATTTCAGTTGTTTCAAACTTATACAGTTTATTTTTGGAAAAAATGTTTATTAGATTTTTGAAAAATGACAAAAACACTAAAATTATCAAATTTTTACAGTTTATTTCTAGAAAAACCAGAAAAAATATCGAATTTATATAAAATACAATAACTACAGTATTTGCATCATTATGTAATTGATATTAATTTGAAATTTCTTTGCACATTCTTAAGAAAACAATTAACGTAATTAGTTTCAAAATTATTTAACTTAGTTCTGGAAATAACTGTTATACTGTTTATTTCAGGTATAAACAAAAAAATTTAATAAATTTTGAAGAATGACAAAAATACTAAAATTGTCATATTTTTACAGTTTATTTCTAGAAAAAAACCAGAAAAATATAACGAATTTATATAAAATACAATAACAAATTTCTTTGCAAATTCTTTGAAAAAAAATTAACGTAATTAGTTTCAGAATTATTTAACTTAGTTCTGGAAATAAGAACGTGATTAGTGAGAAAAATGACAAAATTTGTTCTTGAGTTATTTTTCATTTGAGTTTTTTAAACGTATACTGTTTATTTCAGGTAAATGAACCAAAAAATTTAATAAATTTTGAAGAATGACAAAAATACTAAAATTGTCATATTTTTACAGTTTATTTCTAGAAAAAAGAGCACAAAATAATCAAATTATATAAAATCAATTACAGTATTTGCATCATTATGTAATTAATATTAATTTGAAATTTCTTTGTATATTTTTTGGAAAAATTTAACGTGATTAGTGTAGAATTTATTCCAGAAATGTTTAACTTATTCATATTTCTTTTGAAAGTTTTAAACTTATACAATTTCTGGAAATACGAACGTGATTAGCGACAAAAACTTATACTGTTTATTTCTGGAAAATGAATAAAACAAAGTTTAATAAATTTTGAACAATTGATAAAAACACTAAAACTATCATATTTTTACAGTTTATTTTTATAAAAAAAAGAAGCAAAAAATAACCAATTTATATAAAATACAATAACTACAATATTTTCATCATTATGTAATTGATATTAATTTGAGATTGCTTTGCATATTTTTTGGAAAAATTTAACATAATGAGTTATTATTTAACTTATACAATTTCTGGAAATAAGAACGTGATTACTGACAAAAATTACATAGTTTAATTCTGAATTATCTTTTATTTCTGATTCATTTGAGTTGTTACAAACGTATACTGTTTCTGGAAAATGAACAAAAATTGTTTAATAAATTTTGAAAAATTGATAAAAAATACTAAAATTATCATATATTTACAGTTTATTTCTAGAAAAAAACAACGAATTTATATAAAATACAATAACTACAGCATTTGCATCATTATTTAATTGATATTAATTTAAAATTTCTTTGTATATTTTTTTGGAAAAATTTAACATAATGAGTTATTATTTAACTTATACAATTTCTGAAATTTAATCCTGAACTATCTTTCATTTCTGATTCATTAGAGTTGTTACAAACTTATACAATTTATTTCTGGAAAATGAACATAAAAAGTTTAAAAATATTAAAAAATTGATAAAAACACTAAAATTATCATATTTTTACAATTTATTTCTATAAAAACCAGCAAAAAATAACCAATTTATATAATTTAATTTAAAAATAAATAATTTCAAGAAATCTAATAATAATAATTATGTTTTAATGCATTATTACATGTTGATTACTAACACATCTCTACATAATTTCCTATAACCTTCTACATTTATATTCTTCGATTTCCTGGACATGTATACATGTTTATTTGTTGCATTTATTGCAATTACGTTTTTTAAAAAAAAAAGTAATAATAAATATAATCACGTTCTGCTTTGTTAAATATTTCGTATAAAAACTGGATGAAATCTCATTGAAAAATATCACAAAGTGTTGTAGAACGATGAAGTTTGTTGTATTTGTAACAGCTCTGGTAGCAATAGCTTCGGTGAGAATTTATATTGAAATTAGTTAAAAAAAATTTGTTGGTAACTTATTTGTTTTGGGAAAACCAGGCTTTCGATTTTGAAAATGATCCGGAATTCGAAGCTCACGCACTCGAATGCAGCAAGGAGCACAGCTTTGATATCAGCGGATTTCAAAGTTCCAACCCTGACTTCGACATTTTTGAAACGCACGAAGCTAAATGCTTCTTGCGTTGCTTGCTTGTAAAGTCAAATATTATGAAGGATGGTAATTATTTAAATTTAATTCATTGTTTTTTGTCTGATTAACTGATTTTTTGTTGTTGTTGTAGATGTGATGGATTTGGAAGTGATTAAACAGAAGTACCAGGTGGGCGATGATGTGATTGTGAAGACTAAGGAATGCATGGAGAAGAGCGTCCAGACGGATCCTTGTGAAAAGGTTTACGAAATCGAAATGTGCGTCATGAAGAAGATTAATCTTAACTGATCATGGAAAATATCGATTTGTCTTTAACCCCCAATATACAAAAGTTAAATAAACTTTAAAGCCTCAACTATTTACTTAATATATATATATGAAATGTAAATTAAAAATTACAAAATTTGCATTGAAAACTCACAACATAAAAAAAGAAATTAATGCTTTAGTCTTAACTCACTTTATAATTTACTTTCAACCAATAGAAATAAGATAAATAAATTGAAAAAAAAAATATATAAAATTTACACAGAAAGTTGAGAATTTATTAGCAAAATCGAATTAATATTATTGAAATTGAAAAATGCCAACAATCATTTACAGTATACAGTTATTCTTGGAAAATGAACAAAAAAAAATTTAATAAATTATGAAAAATGACAAAAACACTAAAATTATCATATTTTTACAGTTTATTTCTATAAAAACCAGCAAAAAAAATCAATTTATATAAAATACAAGTAGTTGCAGCATTATGTAATAGATTTTTTTGAAATTTCTTTGCATATCTTTTGGAAAAATTTAACGTGATTAGTGTAGAATTTATTCCAGAAGAAGATTAATCTCAACTGATCATGGAATATATCGATTTGTCTTTAACCATCAATATACAAAAGTTAAATAAACTTTAAAGCCTCAACTATTTACTTAATATATATATGAAATGTAAATTATAAATTACAAAATTTGCATTGAAAACCCAGAACATAAAAAAAATAAATTAATGCTTTAGTCTTAACTCACTTCACAATTTACTTTCAACCAATAGAAATAAGATAAATAAATTGAAAAAGAATATATAAAATTTGCACAGAAACTTGAGAATTTATTAACAAAATCGAATTAATATTATTGAAATTGAAAAATGCCAACAATCAATTACAGTATTTGCTTCATTATGTAATTGATATTATTTTGAAATTTCTTTGCATATTTTTTGAACAAAATAACGTAATTAGTGACGAAATTATTCCAGAATTATTTAAGATATACAATTTCTTTAAATAAGAACGTGATTAGTGAGAAAAACTTATACTGTTTAATTCAAGAAAATGAACAAAAAAAAGTTTAATAAATCTTGAAAAATGACAAAAACACTAAAATTATCATATTTTTACAGTTTATTTCTAGAAAAAAAAACCAGCAAAAATTTACGAATTTATATAAAATACAATAACTACAGTATTTGTATCATTATGTAATTGATATTATTTTGAAATTTTTTTGTATATTTTTTTGGAAAAATGTAACATAATGAGTTATTATTTAACTTATACAATTTCTGGAAATAAGATCGTGATTACTGACAAAAATTACATAATTTAATCCTGAATTATCTTTCATTTCTGATTCATTTGAATTGTTTCAAACTTATACTGTTTATTCTTGGAAAATAAAGAGTAAATCCTTAACAATAATTTCATAAATAAATTGAACAATGTTAACATTAATATTATTGAAATTCATTGAAAACCTCAAGAATTTCTGCGTTTTCTAAAAACTTCAACATAAAAAATGAAAATAATCTAATGTAATTTTTTACTATTAACGTAAGTAATAGTATTTATTTAGAAAAGTTCAGATATTTAAATAAAACATTAACGTTCATAAATTTACTTCTAATTAGTATAAAATACGTTAATTAAACTGAAAATAAGTAAAGTAAAAGTTATTGTAAACACATATTAAAAAAATGAAAGCTTAGTTTGCTGTGAACGTAATGAAATGAAAATTATTGAAATTACGTTTGAAAACGTCAAGAGTTTATCGCTTTTGTAAAGAAAATGGATACGTTCTCTATAAGAGCGGACGATTCTCGCTCAGTGCGAAGCAAAAAGATGAGAAATGCGGTAAATCGTTGTTATTATTAATTTTTCAATTAGTTTATTCTCAAAATTATGTTTTCAGGATCAATATTCTCTGAAGAGCAAAAGGATACGCATCGGAAAGGATCAGTTCACAGCCGACATCCACACCGAAGATTTGATTATCACTGAGAACAACGTAAAATACTTGCCTTCGTGGAAAGACATCATCTTTCTCCCTTACAATTATTACATCACAATCTCATTTCTCATCATAAACTTCATTTCGTGCCACATTTACACGTACGAATTGGGCTACAACGTGACGGATTCGAATCACATGTATTTAGTGTATATAGTCGAGATGTTCTACATATTCCACACAACTTTGCTTTTCTTTCATAGGTATTATTAATACGTTTACATTAAACTGTTTTAATAACTCGTGTTGTAGGTTGATGCACAATCATCGAAAGAAGAGAATTAATAAACCAATCGCGCTGTTAATTTTACTACTGGATATAATCTCAATCATACCAGTTAGAGGAATGGTTAAGCTAATGAACAGATTCATGTGGGAGGACAGACCTCACCTGTATTTAGTTGATGTTATAAATAATTCATTGAAGATGATTCGCATCTTTCGAATGTTGTATTACTATTTAGTTAGTTATTTCGATTTTGGTTTTATTTGAATTAACGGTAGATTTGCAGAATATACGCGAAGATCCTAGCTACGATCAGAAGAAGTGCCTGATCGTGTTTCACTTCATCGTGTCCACTATAATCTCGCACTTCATCGCCACAATGTTCTATCAGTATCGAAATGTGGGGATCAAACAGGAGGCATTACTTTATCCTGGAAGATCGCCGATCACTTGGGTCTACACCCTTTCTTACAGCTTCGACGTAAAGAATTTGGAACCAACGACCTGGTTCATTATTACCTACACCTACGCGTTCGGTCTTCAAATCCACAATTCTATAAGTGAGTAGTTTTATAGATCTCAATTAACAAAACAATTATGATTCGATTATCAAAGATCAATTTTTGAATCACACTCCTTTGGAAAAGATACTGACGAGTGTAGGAATGTACATTGGTTTCGTGGTCCAATACATGTTCTTTTTGGGCTCTCTAATATCCGAGCACATCTGCGACATGCGCTTCAAATTATCCTTCGAAAAAAGACTAAAGCACATCAATAATTACATGGAGCTGATGGATATACCGAGGATTCTCATCGATGATGTTAACAGATACTACAAGATGATTTGGAATTGCCGCAGAGGACTCATCGAGAAACCCAAAATCTTCACGTTGTTCTCCGCTTACAGACAAGTATTTTTTTTTGCCAATTATCAAACTTTTTTTTTTATTATATTAATCGTTTAGTCTGAAATTACAACTGATATTTATTGGGAAGCGATGATGCACAGCCAAATCTTCACCAAATTCGATGACGGCTTCAAGCGGGAATTGAGCGGCGTGATGCAAAGCGTGACTTACCTCGAGGGACAGTACATTTTCAAAATCAATCGTATAAAATCGAAGATGATTTACTTGGTTGCTGGTATAATCGAAGTGTTGTCCGAAGAGAACGATAGATCCGCCGTGCTTTCTTTCTCATCCGGCACAATCCTTGGAGAAATCGATTGCATTATACCGAACCTCAGCAACGCGAATATAAGATGCGCGACGCAATGTGAGCTCCACATTTTGGAGTACCATATGCTGTGGACCGTCTTGCTCAAGTACAAGGAGCACACGAAGACTTTGCTGAGAGCTATCGATGCGAGGATCCAATACGCCAGGTACAAAAGATGTAAGGATTTATAACAAAATTTATTTATTTATTTTCTTACTATACACTTGTTTAAAGTTCAATTGAAGTGGCACCAGTCCAAGCAGATGTCGCACATATTTTGGATCAAGGATCAGTGGAGGAAAGTGATGAAATACTCGTCGAATTCGGGTCGAGAAGCGCCCATAAACGATCCCAGTTACAGTTCTAAATATCTCAATTTGTTAGTCCTCTCATCTTTCGATGAGCTTAAAGTCCACTCCATCTGCATCAGAGGAAAATGCTCCTTTATCATGGATGAAAACTCTAGTTTTAGGCTTTTCTTACACTACATCTGTCTGTCCAGTATCTTGGCTCAACTTTTTATTAATTTTTATTTGATCGCCTTCAGCGGTAGAATTGCACCCTACTTTTACCCAATTATAACCATGATCGATATGGTTTACATTTTGGATATCTACGTTCAATCGATCACCGCTATCATGGTATGGTAATAAAACAATTTCATTTCCATAAGTTTCTCGTTGATTCTATGATTTCAGGTTAAAAACGTTTTAGTGACGAAACCATCGGAAGTCTTCATTCTACGCAGCAAACAGATAAGTTTCATAGTGGATGTAGCTGCGAGTATACCATACGATTACATGGCTCGAATATTGGGGACGTCCTATCACGTCGTAATTATGTGCAGGATACCGAAGTTCCTCAAACTTTACAAGATCCGAAACTTCTTCGTCGACAGAGAGAACGCGATGACTTCGCATTTGATCATGCAGAAATTCTGCAAATTCATCTGCATCCACATGATAATCCTTATCATATTCATTTGCATCACTTACCTCTCATGCTGCTTCATGGGATATTGCAATGAAACATCTTGGTATAAATTTCAAGTGTACAAAAAAAAAATATTTTATTTTTCTAATTGAAATCCAGGTGGTTCTACAATGATAAATTTTGGTACAATAATCTAGTCAACAAGAAGCTTCTGCTCACTTTCCGAGTCTTTTCCATCTACTACAAAGCCTTCATTTTAACCATCAGTTACACGAATACCATTGATATTATCGTATTCCATTTGACGGTCGTCGCTGGTTTCTACATGAACATCATCTGTTACGTTCAATTGAGCGCCACTTCAGCTTTATCGCAAGAAGGAAATCACAACTTCACCGTTTACCTGAAACTTTTAGAGGATTTCATTCGCAATAGGCGTGAAATCGTTCCGTACCAAAATATGATCTTCGAATACACCAAACTTCAGTACAGTTTATTCAAAAACATTATCTACGACGATTTGGCTTTACTTTTGGACCAGAAATCGCACTATCTCAAGTACAGGCTTCGACAAGGATACGTCGTGAATCACCTGAAGAAGATGGACCTGTTCTGCTGGTTCAATCCTCGCTTGTTAGATATTCTCTCTGAGAAAGTCAATTTTTACGTCATTCCTCCAGGTTCGGTTTATTCATTTAAATTTATTTCTTTTAAGAATGTTAATGGATTTTTTCTAGGACATACCATATGTGAAGTGAACAAGAGGTGTTTTGATTTCTACGTGGTGATGAAAGGTTATATAGAGATTGAGTCGAATCTTCCTGGTGATAAAGAAAAGAATTTCGTGGATCAGAGGACGGCGTACACTTTGTTTCCACCTCTGTCGCTGTTCCACGACGTTCCATCGTTCATCAATGTGAAGACGGTGACTGCCGTCCAGCTGATGGCAATATCCGTGCTCGAATTCAGAAAAATCATGAAGATGTTTCCAGAAGAAAATCAAATAGTAAGTTAATCTTAAACTATACTTTTTTCTTCAAAATTGATATATTTGATGAACTAATTATAGTTTGTAAAGGCCATAATTTTGTCTTTGATTAATTTGATTTTAAGCTAAGTAATACAATGAGCAAACACATGTCGGATAATTTTAACATGTTGAACAGAGTGCACGAAAGCGTGGATCTGTCGTGTATGTATTCTTCGTTGGGAAAAGTGGATACGTTCACGTACAAATTGGTGAACGAGGATGGTAGCGCCACGCAGACTATAGCTCACACCGAAACGAAGTTTGTGAAGTTCATGAAGAAGATTTTGTGGGACACGTACGACCCGAACGGTCGCTCCTACGAAATCTACGAATGGATTCGCAGCATCTTCATGATATTCTACTGCACTTCGCTCTACGTCTTCACCGATTACGATTTGTCCAGGTGCCACGAAGAGGGTTACTGCAACTACATGCATTACTTCTATTACTTGTACAGCCTTGTGGACATGTACATAAAGGCGCATCTGCAGTACTACAACGAATACGGATTGAAAGTGACGGACGCCAGATGCACCTACAAGCATTACCTTTCCCACACCTTCTTCACCGACATCTACTCCTCATTCCCCATACAGTATTTCAAGATAAATATGTTGTTCGGAAAGAAGCGATTCCTCTCCGCACATTACATCATCCTCTACTTGACGCGTCCCGTCCAGTTGTACAGATTTTACGCGTTGGTTCAGTACAAGACAACAGTTTGGTCCACGAAGAAATCCGCAATAATTAGACACGTGATGCACACAATTTTAGCGTTTTTCTTAATAAGTATGAGATCTTTCAAGATTATGGAGAATTTACTATTAATTTCGATTTTGTAGCGCAATTGGCCATCTTCAGATTGCTGATGACTTGCCTCCTACAAAACAATGACTTGTACCTGTGTCCATCGAATAGTTGGATTACCGTTCAAATGAGAAGCGATGAAAACTTCACCGGTTTTAAAGGTTTGATCATCAGCATGTACATGATCTTCGCTATATCCATCAGCAAGGAGAACAGCGTCTACACTGACAACGATTACGTCGTCCTTTTAATAATGAGCGTTATTATCATACATTTCAAGTTGATCACCAAAGTCTTCCTAACTGGATATTACGTAAATTGTTAAAACTAACAGACTTTGGTGGTAATTTTTTGAAAATTTTAGATTTTCGAAGATACGAAACTCGTCGCTCATCAGAATTCGATTAAGAATTACATGCGATTTATTAAAGACAAATGTGTTGGTAATAAATCCAGGAATGAGATACTAGCTCACGTCGAGAACATTTGGCAGAAGTGCAAAGGCGAAGTTCCGTCGGTGATTTTCGGAAGGTTCTATCCCAAATTGAAACACGACGTCTTCTGCGCTCTAAATAGAGACGCACTGAACAACAGCGTTCTCTTTGATGAAGTCGATGAGAGCTTTATGCGTCTTTTGGTGCCTCATCTGGAGGAATACGATTACAAAAAGGATGCGGATATTATTCGTTGCAACGACGTTCAGCAGATGGTTTATATTGTTGGTAAAGGGAAGGTGGAAATTTCGTTGGCCGGACACATCATGTGCGCTCTAAAAGCTGGCGGAACATTTGGTTGCTTTAAACGGAGCGGTAAGAAGGTGGTATTAATCCATTGGAATTTTGGTGTAAATTTAAGTTTTGTAAGGTTCCACGAGACAGACCATATCAGTGAAAGCTTTAGTTCACACGAGGATATTGTGCATACATTCGCAGCTTTTCCACGAAATTATCGATATGTTTCCACTGGTGAGGATTCGCGTTGAGAAGTTGATTGCAGTCAACAGCGAGTTCGTTGAAGATAAGCAAATAGAGCGGGAAAGTGGGGTGGGTTCATTTCGTTCCTCCCGCTCCTTCCGTTTCGTCACTGGGGCAATAATCAGGGAAAATTGCGTTTACTACATGATCTTCGATTACATCACCTGCGTCCACGTGGCCACCATCACAAGCTTCATCACTCTCTTCATTTCGCCTATATATCCTGGCGAATTCAATTTATTATAGTTTGTTTTTTTTTCATTTTTAGTATTTGATAATCTACTAAAAGAATATGGTTTTCAGTTGGGTTCTAACGGACGTTTACTTCGTCGTAGCTATGTACATACAGAGCATGGTTAGTTATACTGAACCGGAGTCGGGAATCTCTATTTTGAAGCTGAAACCAATCCTGAAGCGATACTTTAAATCGTTCAGATTCATCATTGCAATGCTCACCAATATACCGTTCTACCTAATCCACGAGTATTTCTACAAGTAAATCTTTAACACTCTATACACTTCACATGTAATCATTGTTGTTGTTGTTTTCTTTCAGAGATTGTTACGAACAAGGCTGTTTCACAATACACAAATGTTTGCGAATCCTGTACCTGCTCGAATATTACACTTGTTTCGTGAAGAAAGGGAACGTTCCCAAGCACATCCAGTGGGTGTTCCTGTTCTATCTGCCTCTGTTCATTCTTCAAGTGATCTTCAATGTTTGGTGGTGGGCTAGGTACGCGATAGAGGAGGAAGAAGGCGCCGTCGTCACACAATCGAAGATCTTAAGCGTGTATCTGCACGTTTTCAACGTCTTCACCACAACCGGTATCATCGATACCGTATCCATAATAAGCTTCCATCGGATACTCGGCAACTTGCTGGTGCTGGTCATTTGCTTCTTCCTTTTGACCTATCTCACCGTGGTCCTTTCCAAAATGTTGCTCACCAACAACTACAACATCCACATCTACAAGATCAGAGCGCAGATGTTCAAAAACTATTGCTCCAAGCAGCAGGTATCTCCGCCAATAGTAACGAAAACTTGGGAGTATCTTATGTTCATCTACAAGAAGCAAAATGGAGAGCTCTTACCTAAACTGTTGCAAGAAGCCCCAGTCTACATCAAGCAAGACCATATGCTCACCATGTACGGAAAGCATTTCGTCAACCACACCATTTTCTCCGATGCCCACGTCGATTTCTTGAGACAACTTTTATTGCATCTTCACTCGCATTACTATTTACCTGGCGAAATCATAGTCGAATGCGGCGATAAGAATGGTACGATTTACTTTATTGAAGAAGGATGCGTTGCAGCTATTGGTATACAACTGTTTACTGCATTAAAAAATGAGATAATTTTGATTAAATTTCAGATAAAAAAGAGAAAATGACTTGCTTAATCTTAAAACAAGACCAATCTTTTGGCGAAGTTCCCGGATTGAAGAACATCGGTTACCCAAAGACCTACAGATCGCTCACAATATCTCTGATATTATCCATCAAAAGATCTGAATGGAAGTACCTTTTGGATTGGTTTCCGGCGAGTCGTGAAATTATTTACAGGAATTTGTACGAATTTGCGGAAACGTTGAATTGATTTCGTTACGTAATTTGATTTTCATTTTATCTTTCCGTTGGCAATAAAGATATTTAGCGCGATTACACGGTTAAGTGCTCAAAATCAATTTAACGCGCTGAAGCAAGATGGGCTCTTTGCGAACGCTAAAGGTCAACTCGACTTAAAGGTTAATCGTTGTATTATCGGTAGCCACATAACAGGCAGTTTTTTTTTCATACCAAAAAAAAAATGTCACTGCCATATAAATAAATTTCGTGTTAATCGAATCTGCAAGTAAAGTCATGAGTAAAGTTAACAAAGCGAATAAATTGAAACTGTAACAGATACACTTTATTTAATTAAACATTCATCACTATAAACTAAGTATAAATATAATACAAAACGCTCACTATGTTTAGTACAAATATGCATTATTTTTTTTAAAGTGATGCAACTAATTCACTGTTGACTCTCGACGATTGGAGATTAGATTGGATAATCGTAGTTACTTAATATTTAGATTAATATATGTCGACGTCCTCGTTGGTCCTTGTTCTTCCGTAGAACTGCCTCGAGAATGCGGCCGGGGATTTATCGCATAATCCGAACCAATGCCTCTGATAAGCGTACATCACGAAGAGTGCAGCAGCAATCCCCAAGAGAAGACCGAGCAGCAAACAAACCAGCACAGTTCCGTCCCTCTCAGGACGATTACCGTACAGATCCAAGCACCTCATCAAACTGTGTTTCTCTGTCAGCTCATGGAAATACATATCTTCCATTTCGATTGGAGCACCGCATCTAAAACATATAAATAAGTAAAATCCTCATCCTCTAATCATCATAACTTTAAGAATACTTACTTGACTTCAAGAGCTTGTGTAGCATTGATCTTCTCGTAAATTGGCATTAAAACATCGATGAGCCATTGGTTCTCGCACTCGCAAGTCCACGGATTATTCCTGATATCCATATCGACGATTCCATCCCAATTCAGCTCCAAATCCAGATGGGCCAACATGTTGTTGTTGATGTAAAGCTGTACATAAAAAAAAACGACATCAATCATTAGTTTTGATTCATCGATGAGCAAACAAATACGTTTATTTACCTTAGATAATTTGTGAACTATGGGCGTTTCCGAGTCTTTCTCGATCGTGATGAAAGCCTTGTGGTGAATAGTTTTCAAATTGGGATTGTGCGCCAAATGCAGCACTTCCAATCCAGTCAAACCGCTCAACGCGTTCTCTCCAATCTCCACCAACTTATCCATCTTATTCATATACAACACTTTCAGAGTACTCACTTGCGGAAAAGCCCTGCCAATTGTAACAATCATAAACAACATTGAAACAAGAATTGCAACAACAAGAAGAAAAAACTCACGTTTCTTTGGTGATATTCACAACCGGATTTCCGGATATATCCAAAGTATGCAGAACGTGGCTCTCCTCCAAATCAAGATCAGTCACGTTTCCAATGTTATTAAAAGATACGTTCAAGAAGGAGAGATGAGACGGCGTGTAAATAAAGTGTTTCGGTAACATCTTCAATCCCGTTTCACTCAAATCCAAAATCTACAAAATTTATTAAAATTAATTTGTTTTTTCACACACGCAAGGACTTTACCTCCATGAAGACCAAAGTATTGAAGGCTTGTTCGGTGCCTTCATCAATTACGCTCATCGGATTATTGTTCATGTAAACGTTCACAATGTGTCTGTCGATATGCTGAAAAACTTCCGAATGCAAACTGGTGATTTTGTTGTGCCCCAAACGAAGAGTCTTCAAAGAACGCAAAGGATAATCGAATCCGTCCAAACGAACACCCTAAAATCATTATCTTTTATTTACAATTTTTAGTTGACTTACTGCACAAATTATGTAATTCCTCACATAGTGCTGTTTCGATCAGTCCAATCTCTTGTTTATGAATTAATCAGATCCCGGACTAACCGATTGCACTAAGCGAAGGCTAAGTCAGCGTTTTCCAAACTGTGAGGCGCGCCATATTGCTGTAATACGCGTTCAAAGTTGAAAAATTGAAATTAGAACGTTCGAAAAAGCAGATTTACTCGAAAACTGTAATAGATAGAATGAATCCAATATATGCATATGAAAGCTGAATGTTTGGGGAATCTAGCAAGTATCGATATATTACTGTGGTTTTAGCCGTTTGGCTGTAATTCGTGTTCAAATTTAAAAAAATGCTCGAAAAAGCAGTGTTTTTACATTTTGTCGATTTTCTCGAAAACTATAATAGATAGAATGAATCCAAAAGATGCAAATGAAAGCTGAATGTTTGGGGAATCCAGCTAGTATAGATACATTCCTGTGCTCTTATCCATATTGCTGTAATACGCGTTCTTTTTATGAAATGGAGGGGGAGGGGAGGCGTAGTAACATCAAGTTTGGAAACCACTGGGCTAAGTAACAACTTATAAATTAATTACATAAAAAACATACCTTGAACGTTTCTGAGGTGAGAGACGCTATATTGTTATGACTTAAGTCTAATTCAACCATATCCTGCAGATTTGCGAAAGCCTCTCCTCTGATTTTCCTAATTTCGTTGAAGGACAGATCCAACGTCTTCAATTTGCTCTTCGGAAATTGATAGTCGATCTTGTTCATTGAGTTATCACTCAAAATCAACGTTTCTATACCGTAGCTCACATTATTATCGTTCATGTAATAGTTTGATTCGTACACGGCTGTAAATTGCATTGATTTACCTATTGCACTATTTTTTCTATACAAATTACTCACCGTGTGTGCTTGAATCGTAAGTTGATGTACAATCCACATATTTCTCCTTGCATTCACATACATCGCAAAACGGTGACTTTTCCGTGTCTTCATCACTCCAAACGGTGGTAAAACCCACGGCCAATATAAATAATGCGGACCAAAACATTTTCGGTTTTATAATTACTAATGATCCGTATGTAACATTCACGCTTCAACCCAAACGCAATCTCTTATCTCGAACGTTATCAACGATTCTGATAAGATTATTATTATTAAAGCAACGTTACAAAATTGATATTCTTTCCAACCTACAGTAAATAAATGTATTGTATCAATGTTAATAATAGACCTACACAAAATGAAGATGTATCATTCCAGAAAGTAAATATTTTTGTCGAGTTATCTACGAAAAGATTGCAAAAAAATTTGAAGAAAAATCGAGGTGAATCATCAATGAATCATTAAGAACATATAAGTTTATCTTTTAAAAAGAGATTACAAAACTTAGAACAAAAAAAAATCACATTTATTAATTATACTTTTCATATTTTATGCATCAATAATTGTGTTTTTTTTATTCTTCACAAATTAATTCCTAGTGTATTTTGACTATTAATTATCCTTTTTGATACTTTCTATTGATAAATTTAAACTCTCACTTACAAATCTGTTGCCTTTTCTGAACAATTGTGCTTGGTGGAAGAACGTGATATTATGTGTACGTGCTCAGTAATTTGACATTTATTCAGTTAGTGCAGTATTAATTATCGCTCGATATTTCGGAACAGTTGTCAACTATTCCGGAGATGGCTCCGAGGAGATAAGGGTGAATTGGTCGTAATAGCAGTGGATTAAAGTGCATGCATACTCTGTGTCTCTATATATTCAGATAACCCCATGTGTATGTGTAAAGGCTAACAAGTAATACAATAAACAGGGAGAGGAGGCTTTGAATGAAGGAGAAACACCCTCTTCACTCCTCTCCCACCCCATCACGATCCTGCGGCCGTCACAGCCTGAATTCAGTTGTTACCCTGGTAACTCGATACCAGAACATAAGGGTCGGATCAACGACGCGCACTGCGTTCTCCTTCTTTATTCCCTTTTCCTATCCGCTTCAATCTATACCCTCTTCAACGTTCTTATTTTTGTTATATATCCATTTTTTTTTCCTTTTCTTATTACAAGAGAACACTTCTTAGTCTACTTTTCCATATATAATAAAACTAGGCAATTTTTTTTATTATTTTTAAGACCTATTTCTTTTTAAAACAAATTTATATTTGAATATATTTCAAGTAGCAACGTAACGTATTTTTTTAATGAAAATTTTAAGGGAAATAAAATATAAATAACATTTGTATAATTGATAAGAAAGTAATAATAATTGTCGTTTAAACCAGCGTTTTCCAAACTGTGAGGCGCGCTTCCCTCTCTAAGGGGAGGCGCGAATATTAGTAGCAGTGAGCAATTTTCTCGAACGTTCTAATTTCAATTTTTCATCTTTGAACGCGTATTACAGCAATATGGATAAGCGCACAGGAATGTATCTATACTTGCTGGAATTACCAAATATTCAGCTTTCATATGCATATATTGGATTCATTCTGTCTATTATAGTTTTCGAGTAAGTTAATGAAATGTGAAAACACTGCTTTTTCGAACGTTCTAATTTCATTTTTCAACTTTGAACGCGTATTACAGCAATATGGATAAGAGCACAGGAATGTATCTATACTTTAGCAGATATTTG